ATATAGAAAAGGGTGGGTGTGTGACAGACATTTACCCTGAAAAACGAATAGAAAAAATTGGTATATAACTCCCTAAAATAAGAAGTTTATATTCAACAATTTTGTGTCATTTTAGAGATAAAGCAGGAAAAAGTAGCCGAGATACCATCATGTAGAAAAGTCACAAACTGGCTGTCGTTAAGCCAAATTCACCTTGTAGACAGGTCATGCTTGGCTCACACAGTGTTCACCCACAGAGAGTTTTAAATCTGAACTAGTTGCCATCCTTTAAAAGTAATGATAGTATAGATCAAAATTCAAGTTTCCAAATTCACTTAAGGTATCAAACTGCCTGGCAATTCTGAGGCTGTATTTCACATGACATTCAGCGGTTCTCTCCTTTTAACAAGCATAATACTTTCTAGTAGGCCACTCTCCTCCTCTTACTATGGAAGGTAATTATCACCCATCATTTCATTTCTCCTTGCTTCTTTCATTTACATTCCCTATCTGGCCCTTGCAAAACTTTGAGATGGCCAGAAAGGTATAAACTAAGAAACGAAGAACAAGACTTAGATACTTAAATTTTATTTTCTATGTTGCACTTCCCAAGATCACTGGGAAACTGAAAGATGCTCCAGAATAAAAGACACTCTGTAGGAAAATAAGTTTGATAAACTAACCCTTTTGAAATTCTCAATGTGCCAGGGCATGTAGAAAATGATGAGAAGTTTCTAGGAAAACTCATGACATGCAAACTTGCTTGGCTTTGGTTAGACAATAAAGAGCTACTGGAAGGTTTCAGGTAGTGGAGGTTGAAAATTTGATCAGAACTATGCATTAGCTAGTTAAATTTGCTGAAAGTACAATTTCCCTAAAAACAAGAGTGAATGTAAATTAAAGAAGCACTATCTGTAGCCTTCATGTTTTTCCTCTCATTTTAGTCTTATGCATGGGTTCTGCACTGAGCATCTTTCCCAGTTTCACCATTAGTTGACCCCTGCAACTTACAGTCCTTGTACTTAAATTCATGTCTCTATAAATTAGTAACAATGCCTTATGTTCTGATACATATGAGGATTAAATGAGATAGTACCTATATTCTCATTTAGATCTTCTTGCTACTGCTATTATCTACAGATTCATAGATTTCTATATACATATGTTCCAGAAAAATGTCCTGTGCATTGTGATATATTATATAGGACACTGAACTCATCTACTTGCCCAGTGCAAAATGTACGTCCTCTGAAGTGCATTAATGAGGCTCCTTTGGTTGAAATTCTAATTATACTGTATGGAGTTATATATTTTTGTCTTCCTCAGGGAAAGGAAGTTACAAATTTTTGTCTTCCTCAGGGAAGAACATATAGAAAGAAAGGGGAAAGGAAAAGGAAAAAAGAAGGAAGGAAGGAAAGGGAAGGGAAGGGGAAAGAAAGGACGGGAAGGGAAGAGAAGGGAAGGGGAGGGAAGGGGAGGGAAGGGGAGGGGAGGGGAGGGGAGGGGAGGGAAGGGGAGGGGAGGGGAGGGGAGGGGAGAAAAGAACCTTCTTTCCCTAGAGAATAAGAGTGAAAGTAAGCCAGTGTGGCAAGTTAATGTTAGTCAGAAACAACAGAAGCTCCTTTGCAAACTAGGAGAATAGAGAATCGGCTCAGTCATTTCCCAGAAATGAGAATTTCTAGGTCAACCGCAAAATTAGAAGTTTATAACCAAGAATTCAGCCAAAAAAGCCAACAGTTCCCCATGAGTCTGAGGGTTGTCCACTACAGTTATGATCAAGCCTATGTTCTGTTTTCAGCTTGGTATTCTAACCATGCTATGGCAGAAATGTCCCTGATCATGCCCTTCTTGCAATGGTTTGATCTTCCATCTCTGAAGTCAACTGAGGCCATACGCAGTAGACATTTCTGTAAAGACCATCACCAAGCGTGGGATGCTTGGTGCAAAGGCATAGATGAGATACCCAGAGCTATGATGAGGTTACCTAAAGAATCTCAGGAGGCCGACCCCCAACTACCTGAAGGGGGAACATTTCAAAAATATTAGGATCTTACTATGTTTCAGGAACCAGGCTACAGATGGGGAAACAACAATAAACAAAAAGTAGACCAATATCTGCCCTGTAAAACTTACGGTCTAGAGAGGAAGGCAGACAAATTCTGCAACTTTGGTTAGTGTTCATGAGGAAAGAGGCTTAGTACTTTGAGGGGCTGTCATCTGGCTTCATCTTGGAGGTCAGAGAAGGCATTCCTGGGGAAGCAAAATCTAGATGATGACTAAGAATTAACCAGGCAAAAAAAAGGGATGGAAGTAAAGTTTCAGATTCTATTTGCACCAGCCTCATAGCAGTAGCATCGGAAATATTCAAGGATCTGAAAGAAAAAACACAGTGTAGTTGAAGTCTACAGAAAAGATCCAACTGATGCACCAAGAGAAAAAAATGAAAGAACAAAATAGAACATAAGAGATATAGGGAACCCAATCAGATGCTCCCTAGCACAGCTGCAACTTAAGTCCCAGAAGGAGAGGACAGGCTGAGATGGGGCAGAGCATTATTTGAAGAAATAATGTCCAAGAGTATTCCAAAACAGGTGACAGACTTTGACCCACAGACTAGATCTAAATGTTCAGCAAATCCCCGCAAATGATAAACAAATTGTAATATGCCCATACAATATTCAGCAATAAAATAAACAACATAGAAGACTCTCAAAAGCATTATGATAAATGAAAGAAGCTCGTCACAAAGGGCTACATACTGTATGATGCCATTCATATCACATTCTGAAAAAGGCAACATGATAGTGATAAAAATCAGACCAGTGGCCACCCATGCCTGGGGTGGGTAGGAAACTGACTAGAACGGGGTACAGGAAAACTTCTGGATTGGTGGCCTCTCAGATATTAACAGTATGATAAAAACAGACTACAAAGTAATATCGCCAGTAGGATGGAGATTTTGTTATGTTAATAATAGAAAAGTCTAAAAGAAAACATCCATAATTCAACCATCAGGAGTTAGCTACTGCTTCATTTTTGCTTGCTTTTAATTGTGTTGTTTATACTTTTCTTTAACTACTGAGTTTTCTACAATGAGAATATAACTATTACAGTTAGGGAAAAGATTATTTTTGAAAACAACTAGTATTATTCACACTGATTCTACAACATAAGCAAGCTATTTCCTAATAAGTTTATAATTTATTTTCTAAGTTTAAATGTTCTCCTTCAATAAAAGAATGTTTTTAAAATAATTTTACAATTTTATATTATTAATTCTACACACACACACACACAAGCTTCATCCATATTTCAAAATCTCTGTCTATAGTAATCACTACCTATGGGTTTGCAGAATGCTTAGCTACATTATTCACTTACCTGAGGCCCCCCACAAGTCCCCAAATAAAGTGAATTTCCAACATGGTGTTTGCATTGCTAATTGATGTCTACCTGCGAGATTTTCCAAGTGGAAGGTACAAAGGGAGATGGCAGGACTCCGAGAAACAGATCAGGGCTCCCCAGCCCTTGTGCCCCACACGTTTCTAAACAGCACAATTAGAGCAATAAATGCTGCAGCCCCGTGTTTGGCCTGACAGGATGATGACCCTGCAGCTCAGCAAGGCCACGTATGACAGACTAACTACTTGGAAAAGGACTCTCTTGAGGGTTACTTAACACAGTCACCTGTTGATTTATGAACACACACACTCACACATACCTTGTCTCACCCTTTTAATTATATCAATTTGCTACATCTCAGCAAAAGAAAAGAAAAAAAAACTGAAACCACTAATTACTCACAAATAAGTCAACGGCAAAGCTCCACATTTGCTCAATCTGGATGGACAAAGTTTGTAAACCACTAACACCTCATTTTCCCCTATTTTGTAATGAATTTTTAATTACATAAGAAATAACTGAATTCACTTTCTGAAATATTAGGACATTTACTCAAAAATGCCTTTTGACCACATTCTCCAATTTCTGTCCCTCTGAACCCTCCCCTTGGATAGTCTGGGGTTTGGGGATTTAGGCTTGCAGTCCTTTTATATATAGCCTATAGTAGAGCACAGAAAACAGTATTGCTTCATGAGGGTTTTTCTTGTTTTTCTTTTATTCTTTCTCTCTCTCTCGCCCTCATTCTTTTCTTACATAAATGGTTTCATACTGCAGTTTCATTCTGCAAATTGCTCATTTTATTTTATTTTTTGAGCCTTATCCCAGGCCAGTTCAACTAGATCACTTTTATTTATTTTAACTGCTGTATACAATTCCATCCTATAAATACAGCACACTTTACTTATTCCCTGTTTGATTTCCTGTTGATAGGCATTTAGGTTGCTCCAAGTTTTCACCATCACAAGCAATAACACCATGCACATAGTCAAATCTGACAATCCATGTCCACATGTTCCTCTCACCCAGGCACGCCCGGTCCATTGCCACCACACTGAAATGTCAGGCATCTTGACAACCAAGTCACGTGGTGCCTGGGTCTCGGTTTTCCGCGGTCTGGACCTCGGTGGAGCAAGGCTCTTAGGATCTTGCGGCCACCTCACTGGGTCAGGCTCTCCCCGGGGTGGTAGGACAAGCTAATAGCAGAAACAGGGCCATTTCTTCACCCAACCACTCACAGGCTGACACACTCATGTTCAGATTCGAATGCAAAATTTCATTATTTCCCCTGAAACCTAAAGGCGGTTGAGTATTTGGCATTCCCTCTACATTGATCCTGGCTGAGGAGGGCCCAGGGGACTCCGGCCTGAGGAGGCCACGTTTTCCACAGCGGCCCTCCTTCCAGGGCTGCCAGGAGGGGGAAAAGGAACTCAGGGAGTTTTTGCCGGAGATAAGAGCAATTTTTAGTAAGGCAGGAGGTGGAGTCTGCCACGGGTGTCTTTCACACTTGCTACTTTCCAGCCCGTGAATACAATCCCGGCCCTGTTTCCCGGCCCCGCGGCCATTGCAGAGTCATGAAGTCATCGCAGCTGCGCCTGCAGCCAGGCGGGAACGGGAACGGGAACGGGAACGGGCTGGCCGCCGTCCCATCCCCCGCCAGCCGGAAATGTCCGCGCACTGAAACGCAGACGCTGCCCGGGGAACGGCGAGAGCGAGCGAGAAAAAAAGCCTGAAGGCGGCGCGGGAGCCGGCGAGTGGGGAGACACAGATTCACACCCAGGGGCCTCCGGGCAGGGCCCGCGGGACTCAGGCCGTGTCCCGCTTGGAATGTGGAGCAGGCGCGGCCTCGGCGTCCGCACAGCTCCCCTGCATCTCCCCCTGGGGGTGTGGGGGCCGAGTGGGAGAACTGGCGGACAGAGGAGAGGCGCCTCGCTCCCAAGGCCCGGGCGGGGAGGCCTGGCCTCCTGCTCAGTCTGTGCAAATGGAAAAAGAGACGTAAGTGCCAAGTCCCAAAAGAGCAAGTCATGGGCCCGGGCTTTACAATCTGTTTCATGAGTTATTCCTCCAAGCATGCCTGGCCGTCGAGTTTTTTCATTAGTGCTGCAGCAAGCAGATGGGAACATGAGCACCGGAGAGCATGGAGGCCTCGCAGGCAAGCAGGTAGCGGCCCCCGACATCTGGACAGGCTCTGGGGTCGAGGGAGCACGTTCTGATGCTTAAATAGCCTCCCCTTTTATTCTGACTGGGATAGTCCTGTGTGGTGGTTTGGTGTCAGTTTTACACCTACACCCTCTCCCTACCCCTTGCCTTCATCCATAAGTAATGTCTGCCTCCGCCTGATCCCAGGCTGCCTTTCTGTGGTTCCAGAGACGCTGGTTGTGATGAGCAGCAAAGGGCCTCACTGTCTAAGTCACCCAGCAGTTCCCTTGTCCTCGGGAAGGCTGCATCTTAATGGAGACCAGGAGAAGTAATGCAGGAATGGAGTCTGGATGAGGACCCGCCAAGTTGCGAGGAAGGCAGAATGGCATAGACAGGGCGTTCCAAGCAGCCTGGGTTAGCCAGTCAGCTTTCCCACTGATAGAAACCTTGGAGGCACTTTATCCTGTGACCCCAACTCTCCTCCTCAGGTGTCAACTTCCTTTCTATTACCATTAACTCCTCTTATTCCAACCACAGCTGTTGTCAACCCTCTCAAACCTCTGAAAAACAGGATAAAAGCTCCAGTAGGTATCAGAATCTCTGCCTTGAAATCCTTTCAAAACGAAGGTTGTTATTGAGGGAGGATTTGAGAATGAAGAGGAGGCTGCTGCAGTCTGAATGTGATGGTATTAGGAGGTGGGGCCTTTGGGAAATGATTAGGGCATGAAAGTCCTCATGAGTGGGATCGGTGCCCTTATAAAAGAGGCCCCAGAGAGCTGCCTTGCCCTTCCCACCATATGAGGACACAGGGAGAAGGCACCTTCTATACAAACCAGGAAACAGACCCTCACCAGATGTTGAATCTGCTGGTGCCTTGCTCTTGGACTTCCCAGCCTCCAGAATTGTGGGAATAAACATCTGTTGCTTATTAGCCACCCGGTGTGTGGTATCCTGTTAGAGCAGCCTCAGATGACTAAGGGAGCAGCTTTCCATCCCCATCTCTGTAGGCCTCAGCCCCCCTCCCACCAGCATTCTCTTCCGTCTTCATGAACATGGGATTTCGTGGGTCCCCCATAGCCCCTGATCCCTCTAGCACTTTGGTTTCATAATGAAAGAAGTAAGAGGAAAGAAAGATGGCAGAGAAGCAGCACATGGAAACCATCCTCTCTGGAGCAGAGGAGCAAGGAGAGAGGACAGTGTGGGGTGAGATGTTGCTGAGGAAACCCCATTGGGCTGAGGAGTGACTGGGCTCACCATCTTCCCTTCTTCTGTCTGCCCCTCCCTGGGACAGTGCTGCTCCCCATGTCCAAGGTCAGGGACAGGGGACAGGGTGGGATTGCCACTTGGGCAGCATCAGAAAGAAAACAGAAATTCCTGAGGGATGGCTGAGATGGACATGAAAGACAGCCCTCAAAAGTGGCCCCCACACATCCCTTTTGGGAGCCTTTCCTGTCTTTTACCTGAAGTACCTTCACAAATGAGTGTCTGCTTAATTTGTTTTTTAAAAACAGAGTGGAAAACATGCAATGTTTATGTCTTCAGGAAGGGTTTCTGATGAAAAACGGAGAAAGCACAATAAATGCAGTTTTGCAGTACCATGCAAAGCAGTAAACGTGGAGTAGCTTCATACTGGGAGTTTATGTGTGAAAAACTGCAAATACTCATTAACAAAATCACCCAACCGAAATCACGTGAAAAAAGTGAGCTCTATAGCTACGTATTGGCCATAACCTGGGTGTCTGTATAATCTGTCATCCAAACAAGAAGCTATGGGCACAAATCAAACCATCTAGAATGCTGGTCCCACTGGCTACAACTAAACTTGTCAGAGGTTGCATCTGTTGTCAATGTTGTGATGTATCATAGCCAGCAGTGAACTCCATGGAACTAATGATGAAAGGTGAACAGCAAGAACACAGCTGTGTCTTCATAAAGTTGTGGCTCAGATGCAATAAAGCATACCTCCGCTCATTCTCCTCCACAAGCTACTGACAAAACACAGGAAACAAATGGCAATATGTGGATTTCACAAAAGAGGAAACCCCACTTCCAGTGACATTGCTTCCTGTCACCTGTTCCTCCTCTAAGAGCAGAAAGCCATCATTCTTCGTCTCCAAATTTTATTTTCGAGATCATGACACATGAGTTTCCTTGTATCTTTGAAATTTACTTGAAACTTAAGAAGAACAGTCTAGACTGTTTTGTGCATCATGATCATATGATCACAATGATCAATGATTCTAGGCATTGTGAGAACCCTACTTTTGCCCCTTGAAAGACATCACATTTGCTCTCAAGACAAATCCACAGTACAAGATAGGACATGCTGTCTTTCCATGAGACCATGAGTTCCTCAAAGACAGTGAACATGTTCTAACTTTATCTACTTTCTTTTCAATTTGAGGATGATGCATGCTTCCGGATAGGAACTGAAATACTAGTTCCATTCTCATTCCTAAAAATGTATACCCACCCATCTTCCATGAGCTCCTAGAAGTTGAGTGGTTCTACATTTTAAACAGAAAGCTTACTGGGAATTCATAGGCGCTGTGGTGATACAGGTAATGGAAGGAAGCCCATGTATGGGAAGGCTGGAGATAGAGGCAAGAAAGAGTCAAGAGCGCATCAGGCCCTCTGACCTGCCCTTGGCCATCCGCAACATAGGAGGATGCCCCTTGTGCCAGGTGGCTCTCAGAATCTGGGGACTGTAAGAACCAGGATCAGCAACCGTCAGTCACATGCTGAGCCCAACACTGACAACGAACATGTTCTGTCTATGACTCAAGATATACTCCCCATCTTCTTGAACCTTAAGCATATTACATTGAGTTCCTCAGGAAACAGCATTTAGAAATGCAAGCATTTTCATCTCATCCTTTATCTTTAAGACAAGTTTCTGGAGCCTCCCAGGAACTGATTTAAGGGTACTGAAAAAGGACTGGGTGAGGCTTTAGTTTGCTTAATCTCAATATTTGAAGTACATAACATATTTGAACTGAAGTTTAATTTGTGAAAAAATTCAAATTGTTTCTCTATTCTATAGAATATAATTGATTTTTAATGCCTCCTATATGACAAGTGGGAATAGACTGTGGTTTGCTCTCAAGACGTGTATAGGGTAGTAGGGTAAGAACATGTATATATCCAGACTGTTACAGTCTAAGGCAGATACGGGAAAGCTCTGCTTTGAGTTCTCACAATCTAGAGCCTTACCCAGTCGCTGAGGGGTGATAAGCAAATATCAAGACATTGTCCATTGTTGTCTAGGAACTAACTTTTGGTCTCTGTCATATAACGCTGGGTTTCTGAGGGTCCCAGTGTGCGTCAGGGGCAGGAGAAACAGTAGGAAGCTCTGTCTGGCTTCTTGCTTCATCACACAGGACCCGGGCGTTTTTGCCTTATTTAGAAATCTACTTGTTTTATTATGACACCAACCGTTTGTTAGCACAGAGAGAGACAGAGAGGCTCACAATGTTTGAGTCCCTTATCTCGAATTGTTTATGTTCTTAAAATAATTTAATTAACTTAATAAACAAAAGCATTTTCAATTCATAAACAAAGAGAGCTCAGAAAAATTAAATGTTCCAAGAGGCAAAATGAATAGAAAAGTCACATCATCCCAAGTCATTCTCTCACCCTCTGTCTTGCACATTCCTGCAAGCCCTGTCCCTGAGAGCCAATGGGACTTCTAAAAACTGTCTTCATATCCTCATTTTGTTAAGATTTTAGTGGGATCTTGGAAGCCTTCTAGATGGATCAATATTAAAACCGGTTCTAAATGCCATGGCTATGTCTACCTTCTGAAATGACTCTAAAAAGATAAAGTGAAAAGGACAGTCAAATGTATGATTTAGAATTTACAAAGCTGTTTCAAATATATAGATAGATTCAGGTTTGGTTTTTTGTTGTTGTTTGTTTGAGATGGACTCTCCCTCTGTCACCCAGGCTGGAGTGTGGTAGCACAATCTCAGCTCACTGCAGCCTCTGCCTCCTGCCTTCAAGCGACCCTTCTGCCTCAGCCTCCAGAGTAGCTGGGATTACAGGCATGTGCCACCATGCCCGGCTAATTTTTCTGTATTTTTAGTAGAGACAGGGTTTCACCATATTGGCCAGGCTGATCTTGAACTCCTGACCTCAAGTGATCCACCCACCTCTGCCTCTCAAAGTGCTGGGATTACAGGGATGAGCCACCACCACACCCGGCCTGATTCAGTTTTTAAAGAAGGAAGAGTTTAAAACTCTAGGGCTGAAGGAAGATCTCTGAAAGAGCCAAAGGAATGAATGAGTTACATCATTCTGGGTTTATGCCATCAACACAAGCAAGTAGACTATATAATTTTAATCTTATACTTTTATTAATTTTTGAGATATATTGTTATTATAAACTTTTTAACCCATAAATGATTAGAAACAGTATAACACTATTTATATTCATGACCTCTGAAGTGTACTATAATCTCTGCACTTCAGTAACACAAATGCAGTTTCTGAATTATGAGTGTAAATGTACGTGGATGGAATATAAATTATTATAGGGACAAATGCGCTATCTGCAAGTAGTTATGTATTTTATACAGTTAATATTAGCCAACTTGGCTTAAACATTAATTACATGTTAGGTACATTCTAAGAATTTCAAGTGTATTATCTCTAATCCTCCATGAACCCATGAGGTAGACACAATTGTTTCTTACATTTTACAGATGATGAAACTGAGGTTTGGAGTTTGCCCAACGAACATAGCTAGAAAGTGATAGAGCCAGCCTCGAACCCAACCTCGAACCCTGTCCTGTGGGATGGTGAAGAGACGGCATGGAGAGATGATTAGTTGTAATATTATTACGCAATTATTATTTAAAAAGCAGGTGATTTGTCATTGTTTTTGACATGTCTCAAATTTTCCCTGATAAACCCTGTCATCTATGTCAGTCATAGTTCAATCAGAAGCAGAATCACTAGGAGGTAATACATGTTTTATGTATGCATGTCAAATACACAGACACACACTTATACACACACATATACATATATACCTCTGTGTGTGTGTGTGTGTGTATATATCTTTGTTATGGGGATTTGTACCTTACAAAGTTGTGAGTTCTTGCTAAGCAATCTCTGTAAGGCCATTGTCCACAAGGCAGGCAGTGGGGAAGCAAGGACAAGATGGAGCCCGTGGGCACAAGCTGGAAGCCATGAGGATGGGCTGAGACCAATTCTTGCTGCCTCTGACTTTGATGGTATGGGTGTCCTACAGGAAGAGCTTGTGCCCTTCATCACAGGAGCCAAGAGGCTGAAGCAGGACAACAGGGGGCCTACTGTCCCACACCAGCAACAAGCAGCATATGTGTGAGCTACAAAAAAGGCTGCTGCTTCACCTCCAACCTTCACATGTCCCACAGGAGGCTCTTTTGTGGCTCACTCTAACCAGAAACACGCAGGGGAGGGAATTCTGGGAAGTGTAGTTCTATCTAGGTAAGTTGACACGTTGCAAAGCTATCACACCAAAGTGCACCAAAGGTACAAAGATGGATGGGATATGGCTCCTGCCTTCAAGGGGCTAACCCTCTAGGGGTGTGAAGGGAAAGAGAAACATGAATGTATAATATCAGCACAAGTATTATAACAAGCATTATGATAAGTGCACTCAGGGTGCAATAGAAGCCACAAAAGTGGCTCACCCTACCCAAGGTGGGAGTCCAGGAGAGCTTCCTGGAGGATGTGGTGTCTAAGTGGCCTTAAAGGATGAAATAGAAGTTGACTAAGAAAAGAAGGATTAGCAAGGATATTAAGGTGGGTGGGGAGAGGGAATAACCACGAAGGTCTATGGCAGAGGCAGGATAGAGAGATGTATAAGCAATACATGCGGAGGGCTAGGAGTGGAAGGAAAAGATGTTGGAGAAGTCAGTGTTGCAAACCCTAGAAAGTCTATGCATTGTACTGTAGGAAGCTTGGACTTCATGTCCCAGTGATTGGGGAGCAATTCAGGAGTTAGACACATGAAAATGATATGGTCATTGAGGTAGATAGTCTCCAAGTTAATCGCCTCACCGGCTTTCCTCTCTGTACATGTGTATTGCTCATTGCATTAAAAGGTAGGCTTTAATTTTTCTCCTCTTGAGTTTAGGCTGGCCTAAGCAACTGCTTGGCTAAGGGAAGGTAACAGAAGTGACATTCTAAGAAGAGGTCTTAAGAAGTCCTGCAGCTTCTGCCTAGTTCTCTCAGAATACTTGCTCTCGGAACATGACATCTCCTCTTAGAAGCAAACTGCCATGCGGTCAGAGTCTAAACCCCATGGAGATGCCACATGTAGGTGCTCTGGTCAGTCATCCCAGCTGAGCTCCCAGCCAAAACCACCTTGTGCATTGCTATTGTGAACATCCAGCTAAGTCAGGCCTTTAGATCACTCCATTCCAAGCCACCATCTGAATGCAACTGCATCAAATACCCCAACTGAGGATTGCCCCTTATCAACCCACAGAATTGGAGAGAGAATCATAAATTATCTTAGACTTCCAAGTTTTCATGTGGATTGTTACATAGCAATAGATAACCCAAATTGCCATGTTTATGTTTTGGGTGTTTTAAGGGGAAGGAATGGAAGAGAGAAGACACTTTAAGTGAAGCTTACTGACTTAAAAAAAAGATAAAATGAAAGTAGGAAGACTTTGTAGGAGTTCATTGCTATAACCAAAAGAGAAGATATGAGAACCTGAGCCTGAGACTACTAGTTGGGGTGAGAAGAAAAGCTGGATTCTAGAAACAGGAAATAAAATTAATAGGCTTTATGGTAAGTGAAGGGCAAAGAAGAGAGGAGGAGTCAAAAGTGTTTTGTGTGTCCCCTGTACAACTGGGTGGAAGCTAGCTATCTCAATCTCAAAGACCCAGAGCACGGCAGAAGGATCAGGTGGCATAGAGGAGGGAATATTATGAGTTCTATGAGGTTTCTAAGTGAATGGTTAATTTTGTGTGTCAACTTGACTGGGCTAGGGGATGCCCAGATCACTGGTAAAACATTATTTCTGGATGTGTTTGTGCAGGGGTCTCAGAAGAGATTAGCATTTGAATCAGAAAACTGCACAAAGAAGATCCACCCTCACCAATGTGTGTGGGCATCATCCAATTATTTGAGTACCTGAATAGAACAAAAAAGCAGAAGGAGAGCAAACTCTCTCTCTGTGTCTCTGCTGGAGCTGAGGCATCCATCTTCTCCTACCCTCAGATATCAGCACTCCTGGTTCTCAGGTTTTTGGACTTAGACTGGAACTCTTACCACTAACCTCCTGATTTGCTGGCCTTTGGACTTAGACTGAATTACATCATTGGTTTCCCTGGTTCTCCAGTTTGCAGACAGCAGATCGTCTGTTGAACTTTCAACTAACAACAGACATGAGCTAGATCCTATAATAAATTTTTTTTTGATATACCTATCTATCCTATAGGTTGTTTCTCTGAAAAACCCTGACTAATACAGTAGAGGATATCCAGATTGACAAGTTCAGGAGAAAGTCTGATTTAGGAGTTGAAAACCCAGATTGGAAAATCCTTTTGATAGATGTCAGTTGGGAAAGACCATGAAAATAGCCAAAATGATTCAAGGAGAAGATGCAAAGTGAACTGTGAAACAGGCCAAAGATGAATGGCTTTGGTAAACCTATACCTAAATCCTCTGCCATGGAATAGCTGCCTAAACTTGGGCAAATAACCTGACATTTCTCAGTTTCCACATTCCAAAAATGGATTTTTATGAGAATTAAATGTTATGATGCATTCCAACTACCTGGCCTAGAACCTGACATAAGAGCTCAGTACATATTGGGGAGGGTTATCAGCAGCAGCAGCATCATCTTATTAACATTCCTGTGGAAGGGATGATGGGCTGCTGAGCAATTCATGAAGAAGATGAAAAACTATTAGAGAGGTGGGAGGAAAAAGAGAGGACTATCACAGAAGCAGAAGAGCTGAGAGTATCGAGAAAGGGCGAGGAGTTAGGGGGGACTAGCAAGTACCCTCTAGAGTTGGCAATATTCCGTTTGTTGAAGGCCTTAATGAACTAACGAAGTTGTGAGAGTTGGACAAAGCTGAGATGGGATATGAATCTCAGGGAGGATATAAGGACTCATTGATTACCATTCCAAGAAGCTTGTCTGGAAAGGAAAGAAGAGATGGTGGTAATCAGAGCAGAGTAGCAGGATGCAGGGAGTTTTTATTTATTCCTTTGTTCTTGTTGCTGATGTTGTTTTCATACTGTTTTGTTTGTTAAAGAGAGAGAGTTGTAAGTATAAAATAACCTATAAATAGAAAGAACCAGAAACAGATTCATGTGAAAGCCCTTGACTGAGAACAGAATTAATTACCCCTGCAGAGGTAATCTTCAAGCCGTGGCAGGTAGGCAAGTGTCTGAGGCACAGCTGGCTCGGGAACAGGGGCCTTTCTTCGGCTGGCAGGCTAGAGGCAGCATGATTTGGAAGCGGATATGAGAAAGGGCATAATAATGTGAAATTTGCCTGCTTAGTGGGGGAGGAAACTTTGAATATTATGAGGCGGTTATGAAAGTATTTCCTTCTTATGGCTTCAATGGCACTGCCTCTGAGCATTAGTGTTTGTCCTCAGGAGGTAAGTGTGGTGACTGTATCAGCAGTTACTACCTAGATAAGCATGGTGTATAGCAGTAACATGGTTTATAGAGCATGCAAGCCTTCCCCTCTTTGCTAGATGAGATGTGGAGCCTGAATTCGGAGACCGCGTGACCCCTGAGGCATGGGGAGGTGGGGTCAGAAAGCGTCACTGGCCGTGACCCAGACCCAGGCATGGAGAAACAGCCTGCTGGGGTTTTCAGACAGCAGGAAGGTAGGGCAGGTATGGAGTAGATTCTGGGGGACAGTTTCATAAGAAGTGAGTAGATCTCCACAACTTGGTTTCTAGACTAAATGGACTAAGCATGTTCCGCCCTATTCTTCCTACTAACAATAACAAAAAGCTCTGGACAAAATTCACAAAGCAACCCACAGAAGACTCCGAAGTTGGATAAAGAAAGAAAAACTGGTGATTTCCTCCATACGCAAGGCATCAGGTAGCAGCGAGAGACTTGAGTGTTGTTTATGTGTTTGTTTTCTTTTGTTCATTAATTTTTTGTTCCCGTTTATGGCAGTGTGAGCTCTGGCAATGTCTATAACCCAGAAACGCAGATGGGTACAAATTTAAAAATCCTAAGAAAACTCTTTTTAGCCAAATGACCAGCGTTTCCAGCAGAGCAAAAACATTTTGACCACATCTGCCCTTTTGTGCTGGCTAACCCCTCCCCCTGCCACCATGTGCTGCTGGGGGGATGTTGTGGATGAAGTCCACTCATCTATTCCTTCCCCTGCAGTAACGTGACCATACTCCTCCCACTCCTAACGAGAGGCTGGGGGACGACTATGTGGAGGACAGAACTGGAGAAAGCAATTTTCTAAATTTGTATATGAAATCCTGGGTAGAACTCTGAGTGCCCCATGCACAAAACAGACAAGAAACAACACAGCAAAAAGTTTCAAGGGTCAGAAAAGCTGAACACTGGTCTGAAACACTGCCTGGGTTTCAGATTAGCCTCAGGGTAGCACCCAAGTGGGGCAGATTGGAATAGCACTCTAAAGGCTTTGAAAATGAAATGACTTTTGAGCCACAGCTCACAAAGTGAACCGGAACAAGCATTCTGAACTTAAACAGGTCAAGTGCCTACTAAAATCAAAGATTTAAATAGGAACCAGAATAATATAACATACTACTGAAAATGTCTAGGATGCAATCCAAAATCTCATCACACTGAGAACCATAAAAATCTCAACTTGAAGGAGAAAAGGCAATTGTAAGCACTGAGATTACACTGATGTTGAAACTATCCAGCAAGAATCATAAAGCAGCTATTATACAAATGCACTGATTTTAAAGCAAGTATGAATGCTTGAAACAAATGACAAAGTGGAAACTCACAGCAGAGAAATAGAAAATGTAAGGAAGAACCAAATGGAAATTTTAAAAGTGAAAAATACATAACCAGTTTTTTAAAATTACTAGATTCAGAAGGAAAGAGCAACAACTCAGAAAAATGGGCAAAGGATATGAAGAGTTTACGGAAAAGGAAATATAGATAACTCTTACCCATATAAAAATATGTTCAGCCTCACCCATATAAGAAAAATCAAAATTAAAATTACACTGAGATACTGCTTTTTACCTGTCAGAATGGCAAAACTCAAAGTGTGAATATACGCTATGAGAATGTGGAAAATTCTCATAGATTCCTTGTGGGCATCTAGAACAATTTGGTTGAATCACTGAAATCCACATGCCATTTGGCCCTGTAATTCTACTTTTAGAAATTTATCATATAGGAAACTTGCATATGAGTGAAATGACATAAGTGGAGTGTTATCCCTGGCTACATTGTTGGTAATCACAAAGGACTACAAAAAATTTAATGTCCATCAATAAGATGCTGATTAAATTAATTCTTACACGTCATACAATGGAAAGTTACAAAACTGTAAAAAACTGAAACTCTCTCTATACCTTGCTACCATATAATAAAGGGAGAGACAATGATCTATATGTATCTGTTTGGATATGCATTAAGAAACTTCAAAGGACAGATAATAAGAAGTGGCTGCCCAGAGGAAAAGTGGGGGATGGGAGGGAGTCTGGACTGTATGCCTAATAAAAGCCCCAAATCAATAAAAACAAGCTACAAAGCACAGAAATAATCCTTAATGTCCAATCCCAGGGCTTTATCATAGTGGTCCCTTTATGTTTGGATGAGGTAAACCTATCCAGTGTTTCAGTTAACTTGGCTTACTATTAAGCCAATAATATTAAGGAACTTAATATTAGCAGGGATACTCTTTCATCTCGGGCATGTTAGATGCCTTCCATGATCTCCACGAGGAATAAGAGCCCCTGAATCACCAGGGACACCGGTGAGGATGAAAGCATTTTGTTATGGATCCTTTTTCTTGGTGGCCTGAGCTGCTGGGGGCTTGAAGCCTGCCTCCCTCCCTGCAGGGCACCCCACCCAACTGCTTTCTGATCATCACACAGGGTGCCCTTGCATGAGCACTATCCACCCACTCCTAGGTGTCTGGTTCTGTGTGTGTGGTTTCCTGCAGAACCGGGCAGAAAAGTGAGTTCTGTTTTCTTCTCATCTTCCAGGCACCCAAAGCAAAACTTCACAAACCCAGCCCTGAGCACCTGTCACATTGGAAGTGCTTCCTTCTCTGGTTCAGGAATTTGGTTTTCGTTTTTGTTGGGGTTGCTTGGACCCTATTGAAGGACAGAGTTTGAGGCTGGGGGTCTCTCCCCAGACTTCTCCTGACCCTTATGAAACAACCACAAACGCCATCACTTTCCATAAGAAGATCAAGTTGCTTTTCTAAAATCGTGAGGAGTCACTGATCTGCGCTAGCTTTCTCACGAGGGCACGTGTGGGCTGGGGCACAGCTGTTCCTGTCTGTTACTTGGGCTGACACACAAGGACAGCTGTGAAGGGAGCGTGTCTCCTCCCCGTCTCTGTTCCAATGAGGCCTTGGTTTAGCCCAACTTCTGAATCCAGGTGATACTCCCTAATTGGCAAACAAAAGCCCCAGGAATAAGGCAGAGAAGACTGGCCCTCACAGAGCTCGGCTCCAGTCATTTAAAATGAAATCAATCTCACTTCTCTCCTTTTCCCTCAGTGTCCTGAAATAATATTTGAAGTTCTGTTTAGTCTCTTTGGAGAACTGCCAATGACTTCGAGGCATGTAGTGAAGCTGTATTTCAAGAGATGATTACACCCAGGACTTTGGAAAAGTGATTCTCACTTAGGAATAACATATGATATAGATTTAATAATCTGCCATAATAGTTGTCTCCCTACTTTTTTTGCCTCAACCAAATAAGAATAAAAAACTGACAGTAGCAAAAGGAATCTCTCTTCCATGGATGTGATTGTTAAAATTTTTTTTTTTTTAGTTGAATGAACTATTATCAATGGTGAATTTTGAAAGGAACCACACACACAAGTTCTTAGATTTTCTGCTTTTGCCATTAACTATCGTAAATGTTTTCAAAAATCTCTTTCCATCTTTTGCTCATAGAAAAAAAAAATTCTTAACTCCATTGAAGTTATGAGTGAAATAAACGTTTTTGAGAAAGAACAACAGAAAGCCCACTGGCCTGTTTTCTCCACTCTGACTACAATTATGTAATTAACTGTCAAGCTTGGTGACTCCCTTTCACAATCTGGAGAAGTGGCACTCACTCTTTTTGAAAAATATGAGAAGCATATATTTAATTATATAATCATTATATAGGGGCATCCTTATAAAATATTAATGAAATATAGAAAAATCCACTGTCATGTTGAACTGACTCTCCTGTAAACTAAGGGTTTATTCATTCTTGCATGTGTTAATTCATTCTTGCATTGCTATAAAGAACTGTCTGAGACTAGAAAATGTATAAAGAAAAGAGGTTTAATTGGCTCATGGTTCTGCAGGCCGTACAGGAAGCATGGCTAGGGAGGCCTCAGGAAACTTACAATCGTGGTGGAAGGTGAGGGAGAAGCAGGCATGTGTTACACAGCCAGGAGAGGGGGAAGAGGGAGAAAGGGGAGGTGCTACACATTTTTAAACAACCAGATCTCAAGAGAACTCACTCATCATCATGAGAACTGCAAGGGGGAAGTCCACCCCATGATCCCATCACCTCCCAGCCGGTCCCTCCTCCAACATTGGGGATTACAATTCAACCTGAGAGTCAGGTGGCGACACAAATCTAAACCATATCAGTGGCATATCCTTCCAGACCCTTTTAATACATATGTACACATAGAAATATTTATATATGTAGATACAAATATTTATATGTAAATACAACTACAAATATAGAAATATGTAATGTCAAGATTGTCTTTTACATAAATAGAATCATGTCGTACACATTATTCCACAACTTGATTTTTAACTTAACATCTTAATGATGTTTCTGTATCAGTATATGTAAATTTACCAACTACTGTGAAATATTCCATCCCTTCTATATGCCACAATTTGTTACACTTTTTCCTATATATTTAGATGGTTTCCAATATTTTTACTATTAAAAATGATGTTTCAATAGACATTCTTGTGCAAAGTTCCTCATGCACATGAATATTTTCCTATAGTACACATCTAGACATGGAATTGTTAGGTCAAATTATCTGCATGTTTTTGTTTTAAAAGATGTTGCTAAACAGTAGTAGTTATGGCTAAATACAGTGACAAACTCTATATTAGCTTAAATAATCCTCATAATCTATGATTAGGCACTATTATTACCCTGAATTTGAAGTTGAGAAAACCGAGGTACAGAGAGGTCCAGTAACTTGTTCAAGGTCACACAGCAGGTAACAGTGGAACCAGAATTCAACTCCTGGTATCTAGCTCCAGAATCTATGCTCTCAGCCTAACAGTTGGATGCCTCTCTCTAAAATGCAACTGTACAGATATATTATGCGCATTATAAACTATATACAAAAATAGAAATTAAAAAAGAGGCTATAAATTAGGTAACATTTTATGATACTTATTCATACTCAAAAGGTTTTTCTTTCAGTAAAACTATTATTAATAGTAATATTTTAGTGAGAATAAAATAATCGAATGTGTAGCCCTTTTTCAAAAAAATTGACTGTACCCTTTTTGATACAGCCATTGGAAACTTTGGTTCTAAGTTCAATTTATTGTCTGTCATAGCTGAAAATATTGCTGGGCAAAGGCAAACTCTAAGGGAAGAAGTACATCATTGGCTTCTAAATCATAATATTCATTTTTAATCTCATCCACAAATTAGTCAAAGTATTTTCCAAAAGTTTGTCTAGAAATGTTCTTTTTCCCATTTATCAATGTATTTTCCTTAAAAAGTAATTAGGGCGGGGCAGGATGGCTCATGCCTGTAATCCCAGCATTTTGAGAGGTTGAGGCGGGAGGATCGTTTGAGCTCAAGAGTTTGAGACCAGGCTGGGCAATATAGCAAGACCTTGTCTCTACAAAAAAATTTAAAAATCAGCCCAGTGTGATGACGCACACCTGTTGGTCCAGCGACTCAGGAGGCTGAAGCAGGAGGATTGCCTGAGCCCAGGAGATCAAGGCTGTAGTGAGCTATGATCACACTACCGCATTCCAGCAGAGTGGAGTGGGTGGCAGAGAGAGACTCTCTCTCTCTCTCTCTCTCCAGAAAAAAAAAAAAACAATCAGAACATGTCACATTTTTTGTATTTTTAACAAATTAGATTTAAAAGTTTGGTAGCATATTCTCAGTGTGGCTGCCATTATCTCTTTCCTATATATGCAAGCCACTCCCCTGTCGAGATAAGAAGTTTGTTCTTCCATTCCCTGGAATCTTGGCTGGTTAGTGACTGCTTTAGCCACAGAATATCATAAAAATGATACTGCGTGGCTTCTGAGACTTGATCATCAGAAGCCTTTGGCTTTTGTCTATCTGTTAGTGTTCTACAGAGAAACAGACGCAATTGGATGTACAGTCATCCCTTGATATCTGCCAGGGATTGGTTCCAGGACCCCCACAGATACCCAAATCAACTGATGTTCTCAAGTCCTTTGTATAAAATGGTGTAGTATTTACATATAACCCATGCTCATCCTTTTGTACACTTTAAATCATCTTTAGATAACTGATAACTAATATAATGTAAATGTGATGTAAATTGCTGAGGCTTCCTATAATAATAAGTATTACAAAATGCAGAGAAAGATGAAAAGAGATGACAGACCAGGCCCCAACCGCTGCAGTCATCTTAGTCCAGATACCAGACATAGAGTGAAGAGATCGTTGGATAACTTCAGTCTCACTCACCATCTGACTGCAGCTGTAGAAGAGATCCCCAAATGAGAACCATGTAGACAACCCTGTCTACATCCAAAATTGTGAAAAATAGTAAGTTATTTTAGGCCACTTAGTTTTGGAGTGGTTTCTTATGTAGCGATAGTTATCTAGAACAGAATTCTACTGAAATACCACACTTGAGAGACTTTGCAACAGGTTAGAAAATTTTATTCTCATGTTTTTATTGAAGTGTGCAGATACAAGTATTCTTTATGAGTATACTCATAAAATTTTTGCAGAATCATGATAATGAAAAACATTTTCAAGCATTCATTCCCAAAATGCTCTTTTGTGGGCAAAAGTTTCTATTTAAAAAGCATTCTTTTAATTACTTTTTAAAATTTTATTTCCATAGGTTTTTGGGGAACAGGTGGTGTTTGGTTATGTAAGTTATTTACTGGTGATTTGTGAGATTTTGGTGCACCTATCACCCAAGCAGTATGCCCTATACCCAATTTGTAGTCTTTTATCCCTCACCCTCCTCCCACTCTTTACCTCGAGTCCCCAAAGTCCACTGTATTTAGATTCTCATAGCTTAGCTCCCACTTATGAGTGAGAACATATGATGTTTGGTTTTCCATTCCTGAGTTACTTGATTTAGAATAATGGTCTCCAGTTCCATCCAGGTTGCTGTAAATGCCATTATTTTGTTCCTTTTTTTTTTTTTTTTTTTTTTTTTGAGGCGGAGTCTCGCTCTGTCGCCCAGGCTGGAGTGCAGTGGCGCGATCTCGGCTCACTGCAAGCTCCGCCTCCCGGGTTCCCGCCATTCTCCTGCCTCAGCCTCCCGAGTAGCTGGGACTACAGGCGCCGCGACCACGCCCGGCTAATTTTTTTGTATTTTTAGTGGAGACGGGGTTTCATTGTGTTAGCCACGATGGTCTCGATCTCCTGACCTCGTGATCCGCCCGTCTCGGCCTCCCAAAGTGCTGGGATCACAGGCTTGAGCCACCGCGCCCGGCCATATTTTGTTCCTTTTTATGGCTGAATAGTATTCCATGTTTCTCTCTCTCTCTCTCTCTCTCTATATATATATATATATATATTTCACAATGTCTATTCACTCATTGATTGATGGGCATTTGGGCTGGTTCTATATCTTTGCAATTGTAAGTTGTGCTGCTATAAACATATGTGTGCAAGCATCTTTTTCATATAATGACTTCTTTTCCTCTGGGTAGATGTCCAGTACTGGGATTCC